TCAAAATATGAGCACAACATCTAACATGCAAAAGACTACCACCTAACAACAAATGCAACTCGGAGTCATTTTTCAAATAGTCTATACACTTTGTGTTGCAGTTGCATTATCAAGAGACAAAGAAAAAACTTTATTATTCAAGTGAAATTCTTTTAAACAATCCAAAATACGAACTTTGATGTTAAAACCGATATGCCTTTCTTCCATAGCTTGAAAACATAGTATACGTTTTTGAATAAACCAATCACCATCCACCCAATGAGCAGTAATGCAAAGAAAAGGTTCGCCAAAACTAGAAGTTCATGTATCACTTGTAAAACTAACACGACCATCAAAAGTACGAAATAATTCAATCAAACCACTCTTATACTTATAATAAGAAGTTTGTGTATAATGTCTTAGAATATTTCGGGGGACACTAGTAAATGCAGGTTGTAATGCAACTGTATTAAAATGCTCAACATTTGCATTTTCACTGTAACTAAAAGAGTATTCATTAGCAATAACCAAAGTACTCATTTCATCAATCATTCTATCTTTATTATAAATGAAAGGTGTACCTCTGCCGGGTAAATGGTTCATGTATCTACCCAATTGTGTTTGGACGGGCAACCTAGCCCCCGAAGGACGGGAACCATTTTCGAACAAGTCGTGTTTATTTTGCAAATGCCGACTCAAGGTTCCGGTTCCATCTCTCAGTTTCTAAGTATATGACTTGACATTTGCACCTAGCGCCTTGCAAACTAGACATATACACGTGAACCTCTTTGGTTGACCGGGTTGCCATCCCGGGGGTGTGACATCAACTCGTTCAAAATGTTTCCACACCCAAGAAAATTATGCTCGACCTCTACTTTCAACCTTTCATAAATCAAATTATTGAAATTAATTTTTAAACGCTATTTATGAAAATAAGCTTTTAAATTTTAAATATTTTAATTATAATTATTTAAACGCATTTTTCATGGTAATTATAAATCATAGAAAATTGAAAACTAAACTAACTTTATAATAATTAATAATAGTTTTTTAAAAATATTCATAACAATAAAAATTAAATTAGAAATTACCTTGAGATGAAAGTTGAGATGTTGGTTGTGATGTAGGTTGCGATGGAGGTGGCATAGTTGAACTCGATGATTGGTGGGAGAAATGTTGTGGTGGAGACGTTTGAATATTTTTCCCATCTCCTAAACCATAATCTCCATATTCATTGACAAATTGATTTAAATTTTCCGTATTAATTTCAACGAAAAATTTGCACCACCACTCCTTTGGCCACCACTTCGACCACCACTTTGACTCCTTCCCATTCCTCCTCTTGAGCCCTTTTTTTTTAACTTTTCTTTTTTTGAACTTTTTTTTTTCAGAATCTTACAAATACTAAATATTAAGGAGATTATTTTAACAAAAATAAAACTCTATATAGCACTAAATAACACTTGAGAATTTGAGAAAAATTAAGAAATTTTGAGTAAGAGAGAAAGAAAGCTTGAGTTGTATGGAAATTTGAGTGAAATGGAATTGGTATTTATAAGAAAAATTGAGGGGATGATCATACAATACAAAAAATAGCCAGTAAACTCAAAAAACTAGTTGTTACTAACAATTAAAAGTAACTGTTCACTTTGTTCATCAAATTCATAAAAAAAAGTAGCCGTTAGTTTTGAAAAAATAATTGGAACATTGCTGTTAGGCTAGGCGGGTTGGGTGGGCCGGGCGGGTTGGCCATGTAAGGTGGGTTGGGTTGTGCGAGGTGGGTTGGGTTAGGTGGGTTCACGGGTTAGGTGTGTCGAATTAAATGGGTCAAAACGGATTTTGCGAGTTGAAATGGGTTGTGTCGAAAATTTTGGACCCACGACACAAACCGGGTTAAATCCAGGTTGTGCTGGGTTGGTACCGGGTTGAAACCGGGTCGGACCCACGTGACCCACCAGCCGTGCAGGTTAGGGTAGGTTGGGTCCAACCCGGCCCACTGGCCACCTCTAGCAACATGGTTTTGCTCTAGTCCAAATAGCAAGTTAAAGGCTTGCCAATCATAGCACCCTGGAGTTAGGTGTTTTGATAGAGTGTTGTTTAAGTCATCATTCAAGAAGTAGCAATCGTGAAAAATCTCGAATCCAGGCTTCTTGATACCTTCAAGAACTAGTGGTTCTGGAAAATCATAGCATGGGTGATTCTTCCCCTTCCTAATGAATTGCCCATTAAGGGTTTGATTGTAAGATGGAAGTAAGGAAATTATCCCTTTCTTATTGTTGTTCCTACGCGCCCTTACTTTGGCATCGTGAGCTCCGAGTTCTTTCTTGGTTAGTTTATATCCCAATCCAAAGGAGTAGCTTTTGTTTGAGATAGGAAGTAAGATAGATTTCTTTATTCCTATTCCCAAAGGCATCCCTCGAAAGTAACTATTCTTGAATAAGATGTTGTTTACTATTAGGGTGGAATATGGATCAAGTTTCAAAGGTACTTCAAGAACTTCATCCATTTCTAGTGTGCAGATAGCCTCTGTGGTGAATCTACACATATCTTCTTCATCATTGTCATGATTTATCTCCAAAAGAGATTGATCGTTTATTGCGACTTTTAGAGGAGAAGCATGTATAGTCATAGGAAGACCTTGATAGTTCAACCTAATCATTTGATGGAGTGAAGACGGTATTTCTCCAAGTTCATGTATCTAAAGATTTCCAAGAACAAGGTTGAATGTAGGTTTTATGTCCATGACATGGAATTCAACCATCTTTTGTATTGGGCCGGTGGTAATTGGTAGCTTAATAGGTCCACACACCGATCTCTTTGAATTATCGTAGGCCCTAATGCTTTGTGTTGTTGCATGAAAATCTTTTTCTTGGTCTAGGCCTAGATATTTTGCGGTTCGTAATGGGCACACATTGACGGCGGACCCATTGTCAACTACGGTAAGAGGGATGTTATATCCCTTGCACCCCACAGTTTGATATGATGCATTATTGTGTGGGGTGTCTTTTGATGGCAAATCATCACTAGTAAAAATGATTAATTTGTCGGATTTTTTGCTAGTAAGCAAGCTAACGAGATCCTGGGGAGCTGTGTCAGTAATTACAGACAAAGCAATTAGAGCATTCGTTAGAGAATTCCTATGTTCCTCAAAGGTACTTAGGATTTTTCAAATGCTAACATTCACCTTAGATTGACGAAGTTTTTTGACCAATGGATCTTCTACCTCGGGTGGTGGCGGAATATTTTGAGACATATAGGTCTTTAAAGTCGTCGTCCCATAATCTACAAACTTCATTAGTTGCCCCTATGAGTGTTGTGGTTAGAGATTTCCCCATGGGAGTGATGTAATCCAAAGGATTGAACTCATCACTCCTCACGTGGTTCTCATCGATACAAAATATTCCTAATAGGGAAACATTATTATTAGGCTTAGGCGTGAGAATTTTTCCATCGTCTACTAGATCTTGAATCATGTGTTTCAAAACAAAGTAATGTTCAGTATCATACCCAACACCCCTATTATAAGTACAATAAGCATTGCCAACCCATTAAGGATTTCTTCTTTCTATGGGAGGAGGAGGCGTTGGCCCAGTTGGCGAGAACTTTTCAGGGAACTTATTCTTCACAGCCAAAGTAGTGGAAGGTTGTTACACGTAGGTGAAATCTTTAGAAATCCAGCTCACCTTTTCTTTTAGCTTTTCCACTGCAGCAACAGTGGCATTGTTTTGTTCCATGGTAGTGACCTTAGTAGTAAGGGTTTGCATCATAGTGATGAGTGCATCAATGGACTTGTTAATCTGCTCAATATCTTCCTTGGTAGCCATTGGAGTGAAATGAAAGTGAATTGGGGGTGATGGTGATGGACTTTGTAGAGACAACGGAGGTTTCCTTAGACGCCTACTAGGTTTAAGAGGTTGTTGTGGGAGTGAACCGAGCCGTACTAATCTGCCTTTGCTCCTTGACCAAATGCTGTGAAATAAAACAAATTCACTTAATGGTTTGACCAAACATTACAAATTGGAAAAAAAAAGAGTGAGGAGATTTTTAAAATAAATATAAAAACTCCACTCATTTTTTTTATGCCGGGAAATGACACATGTATGAACCTAGTATGGTGCACGACTCGAAGACAAACTGTGAGCAACGACTCAACAAGTGTGATTAGGAGAGTTAATGACTCGTGATATGATCGTATGGCTAGACATGAGGACGTTGTGAAAAAACAAATTACACAAGGACCAAATAGCACGGAAGACTAAAAGAAAAACTCGATTAATTTTGTTCAATTTTAATGTTTGTGCTATTTACAAGGTGAAAACGGTCCATTGGCAATCGTTAGTCATAAATAAGATCAAACACAATCAAAGACAAAGAACACATGTTAAGGTTAGCACAATAATCACAAGAAACTAGGATGAGGATTGGAAATCTAGAAGAGTTAAGACTCATGGGAAATGATAAAAATAACATAAAATAAAATAATATAAAAATCTACAATCCTATGTTATACAAGTTTGACATGGATTAGAGGACTAAGTAGAAGATTGGCTAAGACTATCTTAACATGAAAAGATAAAAAAAAAAAAGGTTGGACGCTAAAAAGAACTCCTAAACTAGACAAGATGTGGTATTTCGGTTATAGCTTTTGATCTATGACTCTGATTGGGACAAAACTAATGCCAAATGAAATATGAAACCCGGGGCTACAGATCCATAGGTGGCACGACATGTGACTCTTTCTAGAACTCCAGCTATGACCAAAATACAGTATACGGGAATAAAAATCCGGGTTGACTCAAAAATAAAAATAAAAAAACCTATGACTCGACTCTAATAAAATAAAGAAAGTCAATAAAAATATGCACACATTAGCACATTGTCACGCATGATGCAATGAAGCTCGTAACCTAAAGTCAAGTTCTATGTTCCACTATGGTCAAGCTTATTTGGGAGTCAAAAGGGTACCATGGTTAAGAGTTTTGACGCGTTACCAAGGAAGCCTCCCTTGAGGGTGTATGCCAACGGGCGGCTCTTCAAGTTCGTGATGAAATCGAACTCGCACTAATACTAAAAGTGGCTAAGAAACCATTCTAAATAGGCCTAAGAGACAAATAAATGTATGGTTTATATCTAAGTGGTCTCTTAGAATAAGAAACCATACTATTGGTCTGGTTTGTTAGATTGGACAAAAAAAAAAAAAAAAAAAAAAAAAACCATGCTTGGAAGATATATGGTTTCTTAGATGGCTTTTTTGTTTACAAATAAAGAAGACAAAGAGACCATTTTCCTATAAATAAAGGTTTCTTAGATTGGAGATGAAAGACCACCTGTAAATGAAGTGTGGTCTCTTAGAAAAATATTTTTTAAAAAAAAAAAATAATTGGTAGAAGCCCACCTTCCCGGAACCCGATCATTATTTCCCAAAACCACCAACTGCCAGTTACTTCACGCGCCGCCATAATTAACTTTATTTCCATTATAAAGTTTCAAACATGAACTAACGCATACAATTAGATCAAAAAACTAAGTAAAATCACAATTTCAAACACAAATTTATTAAAAATCACAATTTCTTATTCAATAATTTCATTAAATTATCCCATCAATTACAACACATACATTTAGATCAAAACCTAAGTAATCTTGTATACATAAAAAACTATTTGTAGTGAAAAACAACAAACCCATAATTTTTAATGGGAATAAATCAGATATTTCAAATGTACAATCTTCCATTTTAATATGTTCCATTATCATGGAATTATGAACTGCAATAAAAAAAAAGGGAAAAAAAAGCTCATGAGATGGCTTTAAACATTAAGATCCAAAAACGATTTAGCTTGATAGTTAGGCTCACTTACAATATCAATTTCATCATTTCTTTTCTCTGGCTTTGCAACCCTATTAAATTCAAAAATTCACCGGCCATTACCAAATCATTAATCAAATTTTTTCCTTTGTTTTCAAGCACAAATTCAATTACACTCAAATTAAATTTATATACTAGAAAGGAATAAAAAATAGAATGAATACTTCTTTATAGATTTGGAATCGGAGTCGGAAGCGGTAGAGTTAGGGAAAGATACGGAGCGCTGCCGGTGAAGCTTATGTAATGTAGGTGGTGTGACGATAGACGATGACGTCGGAGTAGCTAGGAGACATCATCTAGGTTCTTTATAGCTTATTGAGTTTTTCGCTACTTAGAATTTCGAATACGAATTCCCAGGCGATAGTGTTTTTTCCCCTAAATTCTGTAAGTGGTGGTGGAGACAAAGTATATAGAATTAGGTTAGAGAAATTTTAAGTGGCTGAAAAGCAATTTTTTTTTTTTTTTTAAAAAAAACAAATAGGTTAAAAAGCAGATTCATAAAAAATTAAAAAAATAAATTAATTTGTAAAAAATATTGATACAAACCAGTTTATTATTTAAAAATTAAATCCCTTGGTCTAGCGCAAGTCAAGGGACATCCAAGAGACCATACTTCCTCAACTAAGGTATCTTATTAATTACCTAAGAAACCAAAGTTTGTAATTGTATGGTTTCTTTACCTAAGAGACCTTTAATGCGACATAAATGGTTTCATATTGATGGTTCATTAGCCCTTTTTGTGGTAGTGTCGACTCCATGGTTTTAAAAACTCGAATGAACCCGTATTGTCATGAACTTTTTCGGGTTGATAGGGGCTAGCCACATACGTAGAACAAGTACTATTGTGGCAAAATAGGTAAGCTAAAATGCATATGCATATGTGACAATGGCAATTAAATCACAAGAATATCATTCAAGAATCTTTCAAGTCTCATTATTTCATCTAAATTAAATATCGATCACTCAAATCGATAAATAACCAAGAATCCTCCCCAGTGGAGTCGCCAATTTGTAGGCGTCATTTGAAAAGCGCCTACTTAAGCATGTGAGAATATGCATGGAAATCATAGGAAGTGGGAATTGACATTATGCGAATAGGGACAAAGAAAGTAGGGAGCCTTCAACAAGTTTTTAAGGAACTTGTAAACTGATCACGGATCATTAAAAGGCAACCACGAAAAAGGGACAACAATAGGAAACAACGATTGACCCGTGAAGGTTACACCCCATTCATAAACCATGAGATTACTAACTCCATATAGTTTGGAACCACGAAAGGAGGATCGGGGATGATGGTATGAAGTGAGTCATGGAGTCACATTCGCCCGCATTGGCCTCTACTCGATTCTTATACCAAAAGGTATTTCATGCGATCTCAAGGCATATAAACAAAGATCCAATCTGCTCCAAACTAAATTAGGTGAAATTGGTTGAATATTAATGCACACATAATTCTAATTATTAGTGATAATTTCAATTAACAGCAATAATATTAAAAAAAAAAGGAACCTAAACTAATCGTCCAAATTATCTTATTAAGCGTTATATTCAATTGCATATTCCCTTTAACATGCAATATGGTTATCAACATAAAACAATAGAATTAACACTAACATTGGAAGCAATTAAACCATAATAACAACAATTAATATATGACAAACATAATAAAAATCTATAGAAATATAACAGGAACAAAGGAACATGATTCCTTGATTTGATTTGCGTTTTCTTGCAACTATAAAATAATAAACACGTTAATAACTTCAAGGAAAATAATAAATAATAATGGAAATTAATTCAAATGAAAGAAAAGTTGATTTGGGGTTGTAGACACCTGATTGTGTCTCCCCAAAAACCAAACCCAGTGAAGAGTACCTTTTCACGTTTTGATTAACGAGTTCAGTTAAGTGTTGAAGAGTCTCGCAAAGTTTCCTTAAGCCTTGACCATATTTCTAACCTTACCTAAAATCTTTTAATCCAAATCATTCATTTCGTATCCTTAAAATCATTCATTTTGTGCCCAAATCATAAAAACGTCCAAACCTAATTATTTTGGTCCATTTTCCTAGTCCAACTATTGCTTATTTGGATGGGTATTGAAATGAGCCTTCCAACGATATATTATAAGCCCAAATCCGACTTGAAATGAGTGAGATATGGCCAAAATACTAAGCCGAGTCCAATCTGAGCCTAGGTCCACCTTACCTATGATGTAATGATTATATGAAGTCGAAATATTTTATTTAGACCCTATATGATCATATTCCCAATTTTAAATCAGTTAGGAACTTCTAGAATCCTCTAAAAGGTTCTAATCTATCCTTTCCGAAAAGATAAAGATCGAAGAAGTTCGAGATTGAATAAAACTTCTCAAATAATAATCCTTGTTCTATTGGAATACAAAGACGTCCAGATATCCTCTACGAACATAATTCCATTAGAAAAAAAATTCCTTACGACTTTGCTATCTTTTAGAACCAACGCGCAACGTCAGGACCATCGTACTTCGACAGTCCTGACGCGACGCGATAATCCTGTCGTGCCGCGATAAAAGTTGTTCTATTTTATTTAGAACTTCTGATTTTTTTTTCTGATCGGTTGACTCTCTTTTTCCATTATAAATAGAAGTCATTTTCTCCATTTTCAAATCAGCTTGAATCAGCAAAAATTAGTCACAACCATCGAGAATTACCATCATAAAAAATCAGTCACAATTAGCCTTAAAAATCCCCTTAGAATTCGAGAATTCTTAAACCAATGCTCTTAGCCTAAACATACCAAAACAAACACAATACTTCCTTTGCGTGATTTGAATACTCCAAACCATACTCGACGTTGCCTTCAACCTTGACGTGAAAGGTTGATAGTTCTGAGAGTTTGGTCCCAAATCTATATATCGTAATTCATATTTGATTTATTTACTTTATTGATTTCACTTTCTTGAAGTTTGCTATCGTGTGTATTGTTTTAATAGCAAGAAGTTCGAGGCATCAAAGTGAGTAATTTAATTACCCTTTTTATTATTCTTTTGATTTGGAATAGAAATCATGCTTAGAATATATTGATTTTGATTGTTAGCATCATGTTTAGGATAACGCTTTGATTTTGTTATTAGTAACATGCTAGGATCTTTATTAATTAGTTTAGTATCATGCCTAGGACTTACTGCTAATGATGTTTTGATTATGTTCTTATGATGATGATTTTTATATTGGTCATATGTTGCTTGATTATTCATGATTTATTGATATTGCTTGATCACTTCCTTTCTTGCAGGTTTAAAGGGAATTCTTACTTGAAATCACCCTTAAAAAGATACATACATACATACATCAAGGGTGTTTCTGCCGTGGCACATTAGTTTTACCGCAGTGTGGCGGTAAATTTTTATCATTTTTGAAGGTCAAAATGCGTAAAAAGATAAAACTGGGTCAAAATAATTGTCGTGGCACGGTATTTTTACCGCGGTGCGGTAATTTCCAATTTTCACGTGTTTTTAAAACTTCGTTAACTTTTGATCCGTAAGTTAGAATAAGGCTTATAATATATCGTTGGAAAGCTCTACAAGTATAAATTCTAAAACAATTAGAATCAGGTCAAAATATTTTTTATATTTTGATATATGGCCGTTTTAGTGTAAGGGTGTTAGTTTTTGGCCGAGTTCTAGTGTTTTTCTCATATCTTCTTCGTTTTAAATCGGAAATAGGCTTATGATATACCGTTGGAAAGCTTATTTCATGGAATATCCAACCAAATAAAATTTGGATCAAAATTATAGGGCCAAAAAATCAGTTTAGCTCGGTTTTATGATGTGGACACGAAAAGTGGAAAATAAGTTATGGTTTGGGGAAATGGGCTAAGAATTGGGTTTGTTTATGAAATGTATTGGATTGAATATGGATTTGAGCACTCCAAATATTAAATACTCAAACCGAATAATAGTGCCAGTGAAAGGTTGTTCATCATCAGGTTTGGTTTTGGGGAGACATTTTTAGGTGTCTACAACAATAAGCATTTTAGCAAGTACCTTCCTACAACTATCTGGATCAAATTTCCAATGCTTAGGGACTCTAACAGTTTGTGGGGCTCCATCTTCAGCTACAAACTTTTTCGCTTCAAAATCAATGAGCTTTTGTTTTTTATATAAGTTGGCAAGATATAGTTTGCATCTATTAATATGATTTAACATGCCACTAGTCCCATTTGATGAATTACAAGCACTTAACTTCATACAATATTTGCAAGTTACCTTAGTGTCACCAACTTTATCAAATTGATCCCAAACTGTAGATGACTTTTTTCTATCAATACTTATAGAAGTTCCCGCTGACTTTTTCCTTTTCTTACTAGAACCTTCCACAACAGTCTCTCCTTGACTTTTTCTGGTTCAAAAGTTTCATCTTCTGATTCTTCACTCTCGTGCATTGAGTTATCATTAACAACACTTTGCATAATATGAAAAAGTAATCAATAATTGGAAACAAATTTAACTAGAATCATAGAATGGTCGCATAAATGTACAATATAAATTTTATAGCTTAACTAGAATACTTATCACATGTAAGAAAAGCATTTATAGGTATCACAAGTGTACAAACTGATCAGAATGCTTGATTATGTAAATCACTTATCACATGCATGAAAAGCAATTATAATTTTATAATTATAGCAATTAAAAACTTACAATACTTGTATAAACCCTACAAATCAAGCAGCTATTAAGTGTCTTCGTACACAGGAATAAAATATATTGCAGTGCCTAAGTGCACTTAAGATGTTCTAAAGCCGAGGTAGTTTAAAAATGATTCAGCATTAAATCATTTGTGATCACTAATTATTCAAAAATTGAATTGGAATGTTTGATTATTTGAATGATTTGTATTGATTGATTGTGTTGTGGATTGAGAGTCATCACCAAGTCTAAAATGCAACTAACGCAAAGTGAAAGAGATTGCGCACCAAAACTCTTGGAACGTATACACCTCGAGTATGAACATATGGGGTGGAGTTATGCGACTTAATATTTGACCATAGCTTCTACTGGAAGTATAGGACGCTGTATTTTTTTTTTATGCGCAGGACGTTAGTCACTCACAAGTGACATTTATGCCTACCCAATTAGCCCCCGGAGTATTTAGTCTCAATTTATTTGGGGCAGGGATTTGGTTGGAAACCCGTTCGATGCGTAATCAATTAAATGAACAATTAGATTGTCAATTGTATGAGTTGTATGTTGTGTGCTTGAAAACAGGTGAAAGAAGGTAGGTTGTGTGATGCTAGGTTGTATGCAAGTTAGTGTGTTTCATTTACGCTTATGTGCTTAGCATAGCTAATTGTGTGTTTGTATGTTTGTTTGGCCTTGTCTTTATCTTGACCCTATGACAACCCAATTCTAGTGGCAAGTAGTTGGGACAAAGTAAAGAGAAGCTTTTCAGGTGATGCGGCATATTCATGTTGGGGCATGAGTGAAGAGCGAATCTCGTTTAGTTTCTATGAGGATATGATGTGTTTATTTGCTTTCAATATTATTTATGGATTATGAGACTAACACAATGATTTTTAAATATTTTTGGGATTTTGAAAGGGCCTACATTGGTTCCAAGTTGTTGGCTAACTTTGTTTGACTTTGGTTTGAATCTATTTTCATTTGAGTTGAATTTGAAGTTAGTTGTATGTTTTTAAAAGGATTTTTGAAACGAGTCTTCCGCTGTGTGTCTTTGATAATTGCCTTAGCCGTTATCACGGTGGTGGTAATGTTTTAGAATTTCCTATTTCGTATTTTAAAAAGGGCAAAACAGGTATTCTCAAGGAAAAGAATTTCTAGGGTGTTACAAAGTGGTATCTAAGAGCTTTGGTTGAGATTTTTATTACCACTAAAGCCTAAAACATGTTTTAAATGATTTTTGTTTTAAATTTGGCTAAGTGTTTGTTTTATGAATCATTTTGAATTTGATTTTATTTGAAAGTTATTTACTTATTTATTTATCTATTTATTTTTTTTATTTTTTTGTAAGGAGAAACCAAAATTTTTTTTAGTAAGGGGTGTCTGAAATTTTATTTATTTGGGGCCGAAAACATTGCCTTATTTTGGTTCTAATTTTCGAAAATATTAAATAAAAAGAAAAGGGAGTTCAAAAATATTTTTAGTTTGTTCGTTTTGCAAGAAAGCGAAGGATTAAGGTATAAATTATGTGATAAAAGCTTTAAAAGCATGTTGTGAGCTTGGGTAGCAAAGATTTTGGGCATATAAGTTAGAATTATTCATGTTCTTGTATGCATTAATTATTTATATGTTGTGATGTTTGATCATGAGAAATGAATAATGTAAAAGCATGTATTTATGTGGTTAGTATTAAATAAAATTGTATGATTGAACATTAAACTTAAATCCATGAAACAATTGTATTGTTGTATTTTTCTTTTGGGAAGGGATATTATTTTCTAAACTTTTTTCTTTACAGGATGCCGAATCTCCCTAATAAACACTCCCAAATTGGAACACAAATTAAGAAAGACTATTAGCACCCCTTCGACTATGTCAAGAAAGTTCGTTTTTATTGTTCGTACCTAAGTAATGTCCTTGGGGACAAACAATGGGATCTTCCTAATTGTATCTCAGCTCTAACGGTGCAAAGAGGGTGATCTGGTTCCTTGGAAGGGAGGAGTGATCGGGGAGTGCAAATAATGCTAAGTCTGGTCTAGCGATTAGTATGCACGTGTGTTTAGGCTTCTCTAGGCGAGATGATTAATTAATTCTGTATCCGTTTAATGAAGGCTAATTACTGTATTTATAGCCTCGAAGTACATGCCCAATACTAGGTTAAATGGTAAACCTAGGACTGATTGGGCTTGCCTCGGGATTCGAGCCCTGTTGGCCGTTTTCCAGGTTGGCAGATAGTGAGCCACGTGGCGTGGCGCGATTGGTCCATGCTGGACCTCCAGGAGTATGACACGTGGCAGTCCTTGATTGGTCCACGTGGCTGACACGTGGCAGGTGCTGATTGGCCCACGTGGCGGGAAAAATCCCCTAAACAACTGTAACGAACAGGCGGTCGGGGGGCAGGCGGTCCAAAGTTTTTTCTCAGAAAATCTCAAGTTCTAAAAATCCAGAGGTTATGCGTCCAAAAATTTTTGCAAAGGTGTGAACATATGATTAGGACGTCTCTCTTATATAGGGGGGCATGAGAATTCTAAGGGTCACCCTTCAAATTTAAAAATTCAAAAAGAGTGGGAAAAACGGTTATAACCGTTTTCCACTCACAAGCTGACGCCTGTCACAGGTGCCACGTGGCAAGCCACGTCACCCCTGTGAGGGGCAAATGATTAGGGTATTTTCACCCCGTCACATGGACCAATCTGGTTCTGCCACGTGTCCTCCATATGGACCAGTCAGAACCCTCCACATGTCATCCACGTGGACCAACCAGAGTCCGCCAGTTTCACTTAGTGAAGAGTCCAAAGTGGACCAATCAGGGCATGACACGTGGCAAACTAATTGCCAACTTAGACAAACAGCCTTCCAAGGCCCATGCTCCAAGGAAGCCCGGTCAAACCTAGGTTTTCCATAAACCTAAGGCTGGCACACATTACAAGACTCTATGAAAGGGAGTTGTTCCCCCCTGGGAACATAGAGGCATAAAATATAAAACACGCGTGTACATTAATTGCTCAGCATTAACTTCAGTTTTAATTGCACTTCTCGAGAGCCAAGACTCGAATTTCGAGGCTGTCTAAGATAGCCGGATGATCACTTCTCTTCTAAGAGGAGCCTGATCCCCTTTATTTTCCGTATATTTTACATCCGAACACGTTCTAACTTGATCGTCGGAGGCGGAACTCCACCCAATCGGAGTCTACGTTGTTTTGCAGGTATAGGCGTCCGGAGTCCAGTTTTGGAATCGTAACTCTCCTGCAGGACACAGAAAAGACCCCGAAACAAGCACTAACTGATTTTTGGGTCAAAGTCATAGATAACTAAAAAAAAGTCAAAAAAATTATTTTTGGGTTAACAAATAGGTAATTTTTTTTTCTTCCCTTTCACTTCTGTCACTTCTAGGCACCACCTCTTTGACCTTCCTCCAAGCCACCACCTCCCGTTCCTCTAAATCACTACCCCATACACTCCCATCCCCCTTTCTAACTTCCCTAATCGCTGAAACACCAACCACCACCTTCATCGTCGCAACACCAACCCATCTCTTTTCTCCTCTAACCTCTTGGGGGAATGGTGTTAGTTGGCTTGGGTTGGATTTTCAATGGTGAGGAATGGGTTTCGGGTGGCTGGGGTTGGGTTTTTGGTGGTTTCGGGGTGGGGTTGGGTGGGTGGGGGTTAGGCAAGGGAGGTCAATTTCTAAGGGTGGGGGACTGGGGGGTGGGGGAAAGGGAGGGGGGTGGTTGCGGGGATGAGAGTGTGGGCTAGGGCTAATGAGGGGGTGGATAGCGGTGGTGGGGCTGGTTTGATTTTTTTTTTTATCTATTTTTTGGACCAATTATGTGGTGACACGTGTACAAATAACTTGTACAACAGGTTAATGACAGGTTAGGCTTGATAAAAGAAATTGTACCCTAAACTTGAAATTATTTCAAAATAATCGAAAGTTGAGATTATTAAAAGTAAATCAGATAAATTTTATTAAATTAATTTTTTTATTTTATTTTATTTTTTTTAAAAACACCCCAACCCCATTGTACTTGCATTTGTATTAATTTTGCACCTAAAAAAATCATATTAATTGCCATGAGGTGAGTAGTTTAATAGTTATCCACAGGGTCTAACTTCTAAGAAACTCCCACCAACCACAATCTTTAATTTAATAATTCAAAATTACTAAAACAAAATCCCACAAAAGTGGCGGTATATCCAATGATGTTATTAATAATTTTTTGTTTTTTTTTTAAAGAAGGCAAACAAAAATTTTGATTCAATTTCGTGGACGGAACATCCGAACATACCAGTCTTCAAACATAAGATTTAAAGTCAATCTTGTTTTCATGGAACAACGTATGATCGAATAATCCCTTCAAAAAAAAAAAAAAAAAAACGTATGATCGAATAATCTTTTTCCTGCCATAATATTCCGTTCTTTCTTCTTCTACAAATATTCAGAAAAATAAAAAAATCTGATTAGTTCATCATTTTTGCATCACTCCTTTCTCAAGTAAGTTTCCAATATCCTTTACAATATTTCATTTGTTTTCTTAATTATTTTGATGTTTTCTTTGATTTCTGATTTCTTTTTCTTGAGAAATGGGTTGATTTATGGTGTTTTTGATCTGGGTTTGGTGCAATTTTTTGTGATTTTGTTGTTTGTGCACGGAGTTTAGATGATTTTCAGCTTTATATTTAATGGGTTTTTCTTGTTTGTGCATATTTTTTTATCCAATGAATAGATATGTTGATTGAGTTGTAATTGATTTTCAGCTTTAATTTATATTGCAGGGAACATTGCTTCTTTGATTCTTGTTTAATTGAATAATTTATGAATCAATTTGGCTGGTTGAGAAGTTCAATCGGATTGAACTTTTGGGCAAGAATCAGAGAGTTAAGATTTTACACATTAGTTTTTCATTATTGCGGGGGATTATTGAATCCATAAAATCATGAATGTGGTAGGCAAGGTTGGAAGCCTAATAACCCAAGGTGTATATTCAGTAGCAACCCCTTTTCATCCTTTCGGCGGTGCGGTTGATATCATTGTTGTTCAACAGCAAGACGGAAGTTTTAGGAGTACACCTTGGTATGTACAGTTTGGTAAATTTCAAGGTGTTTTAAAAGGTGCTGAGAAGGTAGTACGAATAAATGTTAACGGCAATGAAGCTAGCTTCCATATGAATCTAGATAATTCAGGTGAAGCTTATTTTGTTAGAGAAGCTGATTCGGGTGAAAGTGGTGAGAAGGATTGTTTGTTAAAGGATGAAAGGGAAGGTATCCTAGGGCATAGTTATAGTGTAGATAATAGCCAGTTTCGTAATAATGAGAGTGTCGAAAATTTCAGGCTGCAAAGCACTTTGTCTGACCCTGGGATTTTAAGGGATGATTATTCTAGTTTCAACCGGTTGGAAAGGAATGATTCAGATGCGTGTAGATTTTACGATTTTCAAGATGATCAGTCATTTGATGATTCAGTGGAGTTGTCATCTGAGTATGGATCTAGCCGGTATGACCCTATGGATGCTGTGGAGAATTTTGTGGAAGCACAGGGCTCAGATTCGGAAATGGTCTTGGTGAGTGTAGATGGTCATATTTTAACAGCACCTATCTTATCATCCGAGCAAGACACCGAAAGTGTGCCATTGGATACGCCCCAATTTCATCTTGGGCCAGGTAAAGGTAGGGATTTTACTGTCGGTGAGACTCCATGGGATCCTGAATATCTGAATGATTTAGAGGGCCCTTCCTGTATACAAGCTTCTGTTGTTACCTCTTCCGAAAATGACAATGCTCTTTCACAAGAGGGTCATGCTCATATTGTTATGATTGAGGAACATGCATGCCAAGATCAAGGAAGGGTTGAGAGTGGTATCCAACAGTCAGAAGAATACCATGATGAGGGCACTGGCAGCATGCACGAGTCAGGATCTTGTAAAGAAAATGGAGAACTTCCGCATACAGAGATTAATAATTTGGTTGCTTGTGATGATTTTGGGAAGAGTGGTTGTCAAGGTGAAGAAAGTGGGGACATGCATGAACTTGAAGCTAGTGGAGATGGAAAATATTTGCACAAAAATGGAGGAGTTGAGTACACTCATCAACCCGAAGCTTTGGAGGATGATAAGAAGTGTGCACACCAAGATGATGATGACAAGAGTATTGAACACCAAGAGAGAGAGCTCTGTCTGTGCAGTAAAATTGAAGAAACATCTCCTAGAACTAAGAATGAAGATAAGTTCAAGAGCTGTTTAGATTTTGCCAGTGTGGAAGTTGACGATACCTCAGAAAGTGAGGGTTCTCCCTTGGGGGCCCGAGTAGAAGCTGATTTTACAGAAGAAAATTCTTCACAGAACATTCAAGTTTCAGATAAAGCTGATAATCAATGTACACCAGAAAAATCAGGTGATGGTGGATCAGTTACTGTATTTAACCGTCGAGTTTTGGTGGAGGGTGAGGCAGATAATGGTTCATCTCCTGCTATATACATAACTGAAGTTAATGAAAGGGATGATAGGGTCAGTATTGGTATAGAAGCTAATGGTTCTGATTTCACACCTATTGGAAATGCAAAAGTATGCAATGATGAACCAGTGAGAATGAATTCATCAATAGAGAGTGATATGTGTAGTAAAGAAGGAAATGTCTCTGAAACCATTTCAAATGGTTGTGAAGATCCTAAATCACATACCAGGAGTTCATCTGAGCAGATCGAAGCAGATATTAACCCAAGTAAGGCACTTTTATGGTCATTTCTTTCTTTGATAGCACAATATTATTTTTTTTGTCATTACTAGATTTTATCGTACTTTCTTAAATACGATGTCAATAGAATACTTAGTAGAATTGATTTTGAAGAGACTGGGGTGTCTGCAGCCAGCTGCGTGATTTAGGCCTTGTTTGGTTCACCTTATTTTTACTGGTCTGGTCTGATTTGATCTCGTCTGGTCTGATCTGATCTGATCTGACCAAACTTTGACCTTAAGTGTACGATAATCTATAAGGAAAAAATATATCAAGTGGGATCTTGTTAGATTCGTAATAATGTGTAGTTTATTAATATGTAATTTTCACAATTTTTTTCATTACGAAATTAAGAATATTTAGCGATAAAAAACCGCACATAAAATGATGTTTTGATCTGAACTTATTTTTTCTGATCTGATCTGATTTGAACTTATTTTTTCTGAAATAAGTAAAAATAAGTTGAACTAAACAAGGCCTTAGTCTTGTTGGCTTTAGCTACGCCTGATTATTAAAATCTCAAAAGAAGACAAGAAATAAGAATCAGACTTATGGCTTATTCATGTTTGTTTGTGTGATACCTGTGATTCTGTGCAAGTACGTCAATGCTGTTGCAAAAGTGCACTACATTACAACAATATCTCCAAAGCCTCTCTACTTGATTAGTTTTAGTTAATGTGTTGTCTTTCGCTCCTTATGTTGCCACTCTAGACTTCAGACCCTTGCATTGGCTCCACTGCCCTAGTATATGCACTGCTCCCTTAGTCTTTAGTGATTATGTTCCTTCTGATACACATGGCTGTGTTACAGATTCATATTATGAATCTGTTGATTATATAAACAATCATTTTGTAACAGAGCTAATATTTCCTCAGCACATTTTTAAACATTTCCTACTTTTGTTCATATATATGTACTTAATGAACCAAGATTAGTTTTGAGAAGACTGATTGGCGTGTCCTTGTTGCTTACAGCCTTAGAGATCTCTCTTTGTCGCCATCTCCTTCGTCCAGGAATGGGATTAAGTGCTGCTGATGAAGCTTTTAGTGCTCATCGCTTATCCGAGGAAGGGTTTAGGAATATAGCATCATCAGTAATGAAGAATGAAAACCTTGTCATCAGATATAAAGGGAAATACTTACCATGGGATCAAGCTGCTGCTATTGTCTTAGGACTGGCTGCTTTTGGTTCAAAATTTTCCATCGAGCTCAAAGATGCATTACCTGTTGAACAAGAAGTTGCTTCAGACATAGGGGTTCATGATTCTGGAAGTGCTTCTGGACGCAGATGGAGGCTATGGCCAAATCCATTCAGGAGGGTGAAGACACTTGAACGATCTACTAGTACTGCCTCGGAGGATGTTTTTGTTGATTCTGAGTCTCTTTCAAGGAGCCCATCCATTGACCAAACTCCAATATCTCAGAGTGGAACTCCATTATCAGAAAGTAGTTTAAAGTCTGTTCACAAGAAAATTCTTAGAACTAACATCCCCACTAATGAGCAGATATCATCTTTGAATCTGAAAGAAGGTCAAAATGACGTTACTTTCAGTTTTAGTACCAGGGTTCTAGGATTACAACAGGTTTGCCATCTTTGATTTGTTTCCGTTTGTTTTTGAGATTTAGTTGAACCTCCAGTTTCATATATTTCTTATGCTATTTCTTATTGATTAGGTTGAGGCACATATATATTTGTGGAAGTGGAATGCACGGATTGTTATATCTGATGTGGATGGAACAATTACTAGGTAAAATTTCCTTTGGTCATGGATTTTATTTTCAGTCACAGTTTGTGTAAGATTTTGTTCTTCATTTTTTCCGATGGAAATCTGGGATTTAAGATTTGGACAATCTTAAACAATTTATGCCCCAAAATATTCCAGAATGTAAAACTGTGAGCTGGGTTACCTTTCGCAATTCAGAGGGATGTTGAATCTATTGTGAAATAGTTAAAGCATACTAACATAATTACATCAGTGTCACACTCATGGGTAGGCATACTCATGGGTGTTTTTGGGTACATGCAGTACCATAGTCTTCAAAAACGTTTACAGCCTAGCCATATATTACTTGATGAATAATTAGGTTTGTAAGATCTATTGTTAATGGAACAAAAAGGTTTATGCCTGCTATGTATGAAGATTGGGTTCCATGCACAGCTCCAGTCACTCACATTACATAGCATGAAGTAGGACCGGGAGTGAATATGACTTTGTGTGTTTTGATTTGATGGGAACTTTACATCTGATGGAAGCTTCCAAAGTCGCGCTGTTTGGTTGAGTAGTTCCCATTGATATTATAGTTCCATATATAACTTCTCCCTTGAGTCATGGTTAGTGAATCTTATCAAGGTCTCTCATCAAAAGTACACATTGGCCCGTAAAACCATTGTGGCCTTGTGGGATTGTCACAATGTCCACTCAACGTAGAAATTGGAATCCATTGTGGGCTTGCTGATTCTTTATATTTTGTTTCCTCAATGAGATATGATTGAAGAAGCCGATCCAGGGAAGTTTCCAAACAAAATAGGGTGTCTCACATGCGTCGTATGTCTAAGCCCTTGCCTTTTCTGCCTTCCTATCTTTAATAGGGTGGGGTAAGAACAATATATCTAGGAATAATATGCAGGAATAATTCCAATTGTTGTGTTTCATCTTGTCCTTTGAGTTATATCAAAATAATTCCAATTATTAATAGTTCATTTAGGCCATTCATAATATAGTCTCAGGCTTGTTTGGGAAGTAATTCCTTTATTTTTATTCCTTTCTCTCTCTCTCTCTCTCTCTCACTCCCTCCTTTCCCTATCCCATCTCATATCACGTAATCACGAACCCAGGTTCCCACCCTTGCTCAACCCCTTACTCCACACAAACCTATTTGACTATCACCCTCTTTCATGTGTTGCCAATACATGAAAACCACCGTTTTCAAATGACCATCACCACTCTCTTTTTAGTCTTTATAATTGTATTAGAGTTTCCTTCACTAAGTAATAAAAATGAAATTTTTTTCAATAAGGTACGAAGTTAAACAATAATTAGCAGAACTCTTAACTACTCAATGATGAAGAAGAATATATATATATATTTTTTTCTTACTCATACGCTATGGTCATGAAGTGCAAGGCGGCTATGGTGAGGTGCCTGTTCCATGACATAGGGATAGTGCAAATAGCGATAGTTGTTGCACCGATGACCGTGGCCATGATATATAAATATTGAAGATGCAAACCATGGAATCAAATCAATACCGTCCTATTAGATAGACACTTTATTCTCCCTCCGTGTTTTAATGAGTGTTACACTTACCAAATGCGGTCGTGTTTTAATAAGTGTTACACTTCCTTTCCTTTTTTGGCAAAAAGCTACATTTTAATATTTTATTTCTCCTTTCATGGTCTCCACCCAAACGCAATACTACTTTTTGTTTTCTATCCTCTCATATTCATTACTTTTCAATAAACTATTAACCCCACTATATTTCTTTTAAAATGTTTTAATACTCCAACTACCTCACTTACCTCTTTTTTTGTTTATGTCAATAACTTGCCTAAAACTATGTGCCTGTCAAAGTGTAACACTTTTTAAAACACGGAGGGAGTATAAGATTGTCAGTTATTTGTTCTGCAAAAGCAACCTTTTTATATGTTTTAAGAAATTCATGACAACCATTATAGATTGTTACATATCCTCTTCTTTAAGGTCATCATGCAATGTAATACGTTCAAAATAGTATGTAATATATTACTAATATCTACTCCATATGCTATCATTCGAATTACAATACTAAAGTGATATTTTTTTTTTTTGTCAAATGTGAGATGCTTCTTATGGGCCTCCGAGACTATTAAATTGTACTTTCCAAACATGAAATTTTAATCATTTTTTATTATTGAATTAAAGATGTTTAGCGATAATGAAATGCAAATAAAAAGATCTGATTTGGTATCAAATCATTTTTGGAATCTTTGCTAAAATATGCTGAACATAGCCTTAGTGTATTTGGATATAGAATAACATTTTACTCTTTTGGCAGTTCATCTCTGGAGAGGAAATTTGATGATAATTTACTGTTCAATTATATATGCTGAGTCATAGAACTTATTTTCAATGGTAATTAGAATGTAGAACTAGACCACATAAGGCCTCTTATACTCGTCCTTACTTTTACCTACAAAACCATTTGTTATGTTTCTTGGTCTTTCAAGTGAAGAAGCTGAGCCCTTTAGACATCTTGGGATAGACTAAGAGGGAATCCATTGTGGTTCTTGGTGATCTTTTCTTATTTTTTCTTGAGAACTGGGTAAGGGGAGAGATATAACTACCACAATATTGAAGTCAGGAGATGGTTGAATCTAAGTTTTTCTTAATACTTACCAATATCATAAAGTATGCGACTGGATAATAACTAAACATCTTAAGCAATTGATTATGTACATCTGTTTATAATAATCTCACCATCATGTATGTTGTGAGACACATCATTCTCCTTGATAGTCATTAGGGAAAATTTTACTTCTTTAGATTTGAAATTAGCTTTTTTTTTTACACTCAGTTTTTCCTTTGTGAATCCCCTAGTAGTCAGGGATGTTAAGTCTGAGATAACTTCAGCGGTGTCATAGGTACAAGTCATACAAGCAAAAATAAAAAGTCAAATTCTGCAGGCTCACTTATAATATACTTTAGCTAAAGAAAGATGGTGTGAGAATGCTTCAGCTCCCCATTCTTAGTTATTCATAATTTTTAACTTAGTTGATATGTTGTCATTTTCCGTTCAATATTCGTAACAGACTTTGGCTAATTCACCTAGGCTTTTAGAGGAGGGGGATCGGGGACTAAATTCTCTAATATTACATATAGTCTTTAGCTAACTCATCAATTTGGTTTTAGCATGATATTTTGTCTTGTAGTTTCAAAATCTGGTGTGGAGCATCTCACTATGATATGTGACTGTTTTTGTCTTGTAACACATTTTGTGGAGGATGAAATGATTGAGTCAGCCACAGATGTAAACTTTATTTCCTAGTTGGAATTTTAATCAGTGTTTGGAAGTTCTGGAATAGCCTATCTGTAAGCAATTTTTTTTAATTTAATTGTTTTTAGTTCCAACTTATCCAGTGGTTCAATTTAATAGTAAGAGATCCTGATATCTGTTCCCTGTTTCAGATCTGATGTTCTTGGTCAGTTTATGCCTCTGGTTGGAAAGGACTGGTCGCAATCGGGTGTAGCTCGTTTGTTTTCTGCCATTAAGGTAATATTTGTTAACTTATATGTTTTTGTCACGTTGTCTCTCTTTATGGGATATATGTGGAATGACTTTCCATGTGTAACAGGAGAATGGATATCAGCTACTCTTTCTAAGTGCACGTGCAATAGTACAGGCATATTTAACTAAAAGCTTTTTGTTCAACCTTAAGCAGGTATTTTTTTTCCCTGTTAAATTTGGTGATATTCCTATTTTTGTTTTGCCCCCCACCCCCTCCCCCCCCCCCCCCCCCAAAAAAAAAAAAAAAAAAAAAAACTTGGCTCAGAACTTTTGATCTCTATCATCACGAGTCTTTACTCTTGATTTTCATTCTTTATATACATATATTGTAACTATTAGTTACCTCAAAGTGGCTTTAATAGTCCTCGCTTCTGTTCTCTTGTAAATATTAGTTGTAAGGAATTTGGTGCGTATAGGCCTTTGCAATCTTACTTTAAAGTTCTTATTACTTACAGGATGGAAAGACACTGCCGAATGGACCTGTTGTTATTTCACCTAATGGATTATTTCCATCACTATTTCGTGAAGGTAAGTAATGCTTCAGTTGTTCATACTAAATGGTTTCTGCTTCTCTTGCTTCACTAGATTTTGAATAGCTTAGTGAGAATTGCTATATATGGATAATTTTGGACCACTTTACGGCCTGCGTTGTATCTTTGCCTGTTTTCTTATTCGCTTTTGTTTGCACCATTTTTCTTCATGGTGTCCACAAAATATTGCCCCATACTAAACATGACCAAGAGGGAACATAACTTTACTATTACATTCACTACATGTGGTCCCACCAATTGTCTCTCATTGACTCTTCCCTTCCAAATATTAAAAAAAAAAAAAAAAAGTAAAATTAGGATAGGGAAAATAAGGGAGACTAGTGGCGGATCCAGGAATTTAGGTATGGGGGTTCGGAATTAGGTTTGTTTAAGAAAAACTTGTAAAACACAAAATTTGAAAAAGTAGAATTTCAATTAGTTATAATTCCACACTCTTATTAGTCGTCATTGCATGCATGTATTTCATTCCCCTTAAATGGTGTACACAATTGAGCAAAACAAATAAACCAATGATATAAATTAAATGTTATACTTACCTAAAGCTCTAGATTAGCCCAATTATAATTTGAAATATACCACCTACTATTATACTCCTTTTCGATGTAATTAAGAATTGCTGGTGGCAAATAAAAAAATCCTCTTGGTAGTTATTACTAAAACGAGTATATATAATAGTAGGTTGTATTTTTCAAATTTCCCTAAGTTAATTAATGACTATAGATATACACATTAAAAGATATATACTTGTAATGTATAATTAAATTTAGTTTAACTAATAACATACACTTACTTTAATACATTGTCATATTCTAACACACGAGAATACATGGCTTAAAGGATACGTACTACAATATAAACTACAATGAAGAATACCTAATATATATATACACTCCGTAATTGATTTAAGTGTTGTTAAAAATAAATTACAAAGTACAAAGAAAATTGAGACAAATAAGAGCATATAAAATTCCCTTGGAATAAATTCCAAAAAAAAAAACATGATTTTAAATGGAATAAAAAAAGAGAACACCTAAGGGACCAACTGGTCTCTTTCACTTTGAATAGTATAGCAGCAAACACATGCTAGATCTAAGCGCTACTAAAAGTTAACGCTGCCAATTTACTATAGCAGAACCTAAGAGATCGCCTATTTATAAAAAAACGGGTCTCTTTGATGAACAGTTTATTTATTAATTTTTTAATTTTTTATATAAGAGAATGGGGTTACAGCTGTACCTCTGTGTAACCCTCTGGATCCACCACTGAGGGAGACAGAAGGAATATATGATATATGTTGCATAATGAAATCAAATTTAGTCTTTAGTATTGTAAGCATGTGAGTTTTAGGGCAGTGTTTTGGGGAAATAATTTTCCTGGTTTCTGATTGAACATTGAAGGAAAAAATGGCCTTAGGTTATGAATTATGAGTTATTGTCCACTGTAACAAGTGGATGACCCAGATCCAAGTCATCCAATTTATGAAATAAGGATGAAACCAAAACTCAGACAGGAACTCGTAGCATTGCATCAAGTCCAAGCAAGTCTTACAGTTAGGGACTTAGAGGTACCAGCTTAATTGATCGTACTCAATTTATCATTCTGGAAGATGTTCCATCTACCACTCATTGACTATCTTTTTACTTGTCACATCAGAATCTATCTCTCTGCTGTTAAACACCCATAGGTTGTATTCAAATACTGTAAATCAATTCACACTACAGCAATTCAGCAGAAGCATTATGCTACTTTAGCCTTCACTTTTCTTTTTATTTATTTATTTTTTTTAAATTTTTTTTATATAAATATTTTTAATTTTTTATATTTTTGGTAGCTACTGCAGTCTGCAGTAACCTATGTTACTAGGGATGAGATACTCATGCTGGGAAACGGGTAGTTGTCCAAGTATCTAACTTGTTTTTTTTGTGATGATTATCCATGGTTTTGGCCATAAATGTAGTGTTGAAGTGTCCTATCCAAGTTTGAGTGAAATAGAAAGCCAAGTAACACAGGCAACCACTCTTATTCATTCTCTAGTTTATAAATTCTGCATAGACCCTGCTCATATCTTATTGTAGAATAGATAATCAACGATGATTTGGTTGATATATATGTGGATGTGGGTACATATCCAAGTGTCCAACTAGGTAATTTTGTGAAAAATTTCCATGATGTTGGCCCATAACAAAGTGTTGAAATGTGCCCTTTCCGTGTCCTATTCCAAGTAATGTAGGATAATATATTATTAAGGACCGTGGTAAACTGGGAATACCTAATTGATTTAGCCTGTTCTTAGTGTCTGGGTTTTGGCAGGTACCAAAATCTAGTGTTTAGTGATGAAGTTTTCAATTACTGGTTCTCGATGTTTTAAGAATTTCATTTGAGATTCTCCCAAAATTTCGTTGAGGATGTCCAACCCCTAAAATCCTTTTATTATAGCCTTGGATTCCTTATACCGAGGGCTTTTTCAGAAGCACAGGGAGATGGAATGTTTTTTTAATTTAGTAGTAGTAGTTTTGTTGAAGTCTACTTGTCCTTGAAACATAGAGCCCACAACATTTTAGCAAGCTTCTTTGTATTGTTCTACCAAGCACTAAATTTTGAATTCTCCAATGCATTTTGTCCCCTGCTGGTAAGGACAAGTTCACGTCATTTACGGCTTATGTATCCAAATATGGTTGAACATTCTTCAACCATTTGGAAGCTTAATGAAATTTTTCCTGCCGAAAGCGGGAGGAAGAACCTCCCTTGCTATACCTGATCGACGATGGCGTAATGTAATGATTCTATCTATACCAGCTGAGGCGCTTGGTATATCATGAGAAAAGAAAGCCATTTGCACCAGGTGCACCGCGCTTTCCCTTTCTCAGATGTTTGCGGTCTCCCACCAAGCATCGATTCCAGTCATTCCCCGAAAAAGTAAAAAGGTAGGCAAGACGGTTTTCAGTGCTGGTTATCCAGTTACAGAAGCGACCAATCGAAGTTGAAAAAGTAAATTATATAAGAAAATTTCTGTGTTGGTATGGGCTTGTGTATCCAAAATATGGTTGAACTTTCTTCAACCATTTGGAAGCTTAATGAAATTTTTGCATGATATTGGCCAAAATGAAGTGTTTATGTGCTATATTAATGTTTCAATGTCAAGTATCCAACACTACTGCTTGAAGTGGAATGAAGAGTTAGACTTAGTATAATGGTCTTTGGTTTTTGTTGGTCCCATTTATTGAGGCTAAAAAATTTCCCATTGAATCTGTGAACAACTGCTCATTCTGTGTGTTTATTTAAAAATTCAAATGACCTTTGTGATAACTTGACAAAGTGGAAGGGAAAGTGAGGCCTTAGGTTTACCTTGTGTGAGACGCTATTTACCTCTGTTATTTATTTGATGACATACTAAATGTCTATCCTATAATCTGGCTGGTATAAAATGGAGGAATATTTTCGTTTAATAAAGGAACATGGGGTTTCTTGTGGGTTGATGAGGTTGTATGCTTTAGCTTCTCACAGTTGATCCTCTCTTGTTAATGAATAAAGGCATAGGGACGATTGTTCATTGAGATTTGATATGTGTGTGGAGAAAGAATGTTCTTACAAAATGTCATCAAGTGGTAGCAATGCATTATTTTTGGGAAATTGTATGTCTTCTAGCTAAGGTTGGGGCTTCTGCAAATTTTTGTTGATGCAATTCTAACTATTGTGTATATTTCTATGGGTTTGATACATTGGTATATAACAGTGAAGCTAAAGTTCTTTTCTATGATAGTTTTTTGGAGGTTCATTTACTGATCCATTTAATTTTATTCTTCTTTTTACGAATGATGTCGCTGAAGTCTCTCGGAAGAATATTGATTGTTTGCCTCCTATTAGAGGCTTTTACTAGATCTTGTATAGTTCCATTTGAAGGGCTACTGTTTTGCTTTCTTCTGTTCATATATAATCTGTTACACCTACTATGATATGGTACCAAACTAGATAAAGTTTTCGGCTATGCAATGCTTGTTTTTGCTTAAGCTCTAAATGCAATGTGTCTAGCCAATAAAGTATGGATATGACCTCTTCAAATCCTTGGTTATTAGTTCACTAATATTGCTAAATGAATGGGGTTTGTGGATGTATTTAAGGTTAGAAAGATTGACTAGGGTAAACTTTTTGTTTGGTACATATGCATTTATTAATCCATCTTAAATCTTGCAGTATGGTTTCCTTTTGTGGCTGCCCAATATTTTCACTAATCATGAGGGAAAGGGATCTTCATTGGAATGGGTAAACATCTATGGGATTGAAGCTGGTACAATTATGTTATTGGTTATGTACATGGGAATTGAAACCCTAGAAGTCAGAAAATCTTGTGATTTTGTGCTGGTGTTTGAGGAAATTCAATTACTTATGTAAGTTTGACTTGATGCAAGCGGAGTTAAATGGATAGAGTTGAAATGTTCAAGATATGGGATCTAGAGTGCTTTCATGAAACTGAGACTTTAGTCAGACTTATAAGAGTCAACAAATGAACTGTGTTTTGATGGAGCAAGATGATATTATGATGGTTGAGTGGTTTTTAACCTCAGTTAACAATTTGATTTGTGACGTGATTTTTGGTGAACATTAAACTAGTTAGGCCCACTCTTAATAGGTTGAAAGAAAAAATGTCTGCTTTATGGTTTAATGTAGCATGGTAAATGTCTGCTTTATGATTTAATGTAGCATGGTTTCTAGTAGTGAAAAATGGCATTGGTTCTTGTGATAGTATCACATAAGTTTCAATCTCTTTGTGATTTAGCATGTTCTGCACAAATGTGTAGATTTGAATTGGACATGCTTTCTTAAGCTATAATGTGAATTTATCTTGGAAGATGTGTTTTGTTGACCTATCACCATTTAAAATAAGAATTGGGATGAGCCTGGAGAAGAGGTGTAAGGAAACTTTGGAAATAATATAGCTGGGATCCTTAGGGCTTTATAATGCATCAGTGTCTGTTTATGTCCTTTTGTGTCTCTCATGTTGGCCCTCGTAGTGAAACTGTATTAAGTAGCAATCTGTTTTCAGTCTTATATTGGTTTTATGTTCAACTTAATAGTGAACCCAGAATTTCCTGCCTTTAGCTTTACTTTGTAGGGTTTTCACATCCAGGTAGACATGTGGGCTTGTTTTATGTAGGTTACATGAAATAGATTAAGGTCTCTCTCCCTCTGTGTGTGCTTGGCTGACCCTGTGACTTCGATCTTAAGCTTAAAATAGAGCAACAATTGATTTTCTGTAGTCACTAATCAGTTACCTAATAATTACAGTTTTCGTACCCTCTATTATTTTATTCAAGTTTGTAGTCTATATTTCCTTTAATAACCAAATAAACACCAAATCTGAGGAATCCTCATATTATTAGACTCAAGTTGAATAAATATATAGCCTTGAACGTATAAAAAATGAACAAAATTCCCATATATATATAGAAAAGCAGCAGCAGATACAGAACTTTTTGTGGGCTTGTCAAAGACTAAAAAGTAGTTGCAAAGCAAAGTTGAAAGGACTCTTATTCCCATTAAAGCTTTGGAAACTAGGGCTCTAGTTGGTTACTAAATGGACACTTGAAGCAAACCTTACAAAGTAACAAGTACTAAATGACAGGCTTTTTCTCTCTTTTTTGGTTTTCAGAAAATTCTGAGTAATACATTGATTTATCAAAATGATTTACTCTTTTTATTGCATGATTTACTTCCCTGAAAAACTTTGGTCCATGTGTAAACGAGCTGCTCTACCTGACAGAGCTATAGCCCTAAACATTCGTTGTTGGCGGTTGGCACATTCAATAATTCAGCGAATGTGCCTTTTTTTTTTTTTTACTTCATACCACTAATCTTAACATAAACAGAGGACTTCCATTTACTTGTTTAGTATAGAAATTCTAGGCTCTTTAACGATGGATTACAGCCTTCTAGGGTCATCACCTGTGTACTCTGGTTACGTGACTGACAAGGTGTTGGTTCACAACATCATTAATGAGCCTTTTTTGGCCATCAGTACTGATCACCGAGGCCAGTACCCCGTGCGACTCAAGGCTCATCCCACGATCTGGTAAACTAAGCTTTGCTTCTTCTGGTTGGCCAGAATTGAATAGGAATTCCTCTGTCCTTGTTAAGATTAGTGCTACTGAGAATCCTACTCAAATGGAGGTTTTATTTCAATCCTGACTGTTTTCCTTTACACACACAGACTTGTGTATTCTTTTACAGCTATATAACTCTTTGTTAGATCTGCACATCATTTCGTTTAGGAAAGGGGAATTGGATTGTTCTTTATGATTTAACATATCTTTACTTGGTTGTTGCAGTAATCCGAAGAGCTCCTCATGAATTCAAGATTGCTTGTTTGGAGGTAAAATCTTATTAATCTTCATTGATGGAAACTCCCTATAATTTAATGTTAGGAAGTCACTTATCATATCATGGTGATGCGTTCTCATAAATTTTTACCTCCAGGATATCAAGGCTCTGTTTCCACCTGATTACAATCCATTCTATGCTGGATTCGGGAACAGAGACACAGATGAGCTTACTTATAGAAAGCTAGGAATTCCGAAGGGCAAAATCTTTATTATCAACCCAAAGGTAGTATCTTCCATAATAACTATGCTTGTAATTTAAAATTGTTGGGAGCAATGACTATTCTTAGGCTAATATCAACTGAATTTGATAGGGTGAGGTGGCAATTAACCATCGGATTGATGTGAAGTCATATACATCGTTGCATACTCTAGTAAATGATATGTTCCCACCAACATCAATGGTCGAGCAGGTACTTATAGATATTTGCTTGTCAAACTGATGTTCTGATAGAAGAATGGCTGTATTAATAACCAATTTCTTACAATTTATCTGGTGTATCTGTACAGGAAGATTATAATTCATGGAACTATTGGAAGATGCCGATGCCAGATATTAGCATTTGAAACCATTGTATATGGAAGCGGATGTATTCAGGCCACTAGTGGTCGAGCTCTAGAGGCTGGACAATAAATCATTTTTCCAACCGGTGATTGATCGAAGTTATAGGGCTATTAGAATATTTAGCATTGGAATGATTACCAAATGGAGCAGTAGTTGCATTCTTTGTTGTACTGAGAATTTTACAGGCATTAAAGCAAAAGCATCTGAAGCTCATTCTTATCATGGCTATTAACTGTAAATCTGTATGTTGTAATGATCTTACTGTAATTTTTCAGATGATAGATGCGATTCATAAGAAGTTAATAAGGAAGTTAATCTTTAACATTGAGGCAATTTAAGTTATGGTATAGCTTCTTATTGCTATTGACTTCCTTTATTTTTTGCCAATTTTTTTTTAAATGCAACAGAGTATTGTGATTTCATTACCCGGCTCCCCAGCTCCCAGAATACTGATGATTCAATTTTCCGGGTTACGCTGTTTGAAAGGGATATTTCGGGGATTTTTCAGTGTTTAATCTCCAAGAAATCAAGTGTATGAAATGAAGGGAGCTACTACTTCCAAAGATAGCTATCAGCTGTAGAAATTTGACTTAGCAATGGGTGAAGTTAAATTATATCAGAAGTACTAATACTCAGGAGAGTAATGTTTTGCAGTTGTTTTCTTGGTTGCCTCATTGCCCAAATCAAATGCTTGACCATTAATATTAGGATGGGGATGAACATCTTATTTGAATATGACCTCCCTAAAGGTGTTTCATGGCAAATTATGACCTCCCTCCATATTCCAGCTTCTCATTTGAATATGTAAAATTGCCAAACAAGAAAGAAAACTACGTCAAACTTCATGCAATGCACGGATGTTGAATAATTGTAATAAAAATATAATTATATATAAATAATGAATTTGTTAACCATGTATTAAAACGCATGAAATATATTAAAAAAATAAAAACACGTGAGAGAAAATATTTAAATATATAAAAATTATAATGTGCAAGTTAATATTTTAGGAAGTTTACTTTACATTTTATATAAAATAAAAGTCATAATCTAAATGCAACCTTATTTTTATATAACAATAATTTTTATTTTAGAAAGTAATTTTGGTAGGAAGTTTTTTAATAATACAATGCCAAGTGTCACACTAGATTTGCTTTTAGTAGTATTTAATTGATGATTCTTGAGTTATTAACCACTAGATTTAATGGTATGTATTGCATGATTTCCCGTCAAAAAAAAAAAAAATGTATTACATGATACTTTCTCGAGTTTTTCTTTTATCTTTTAACAAGTTATATGTTGATTTTTGACAATGCTTTGACCTTGGGGTTTTCAACACTACTTTCAATGTGGATGAAACCACACCATTTTGGTCAAGCTATGTTGGGATTTGAATTCCTAACTTTGTTAGCGTTCAAATAACTTTATTTCATATGACAGAGTATTGGAATAAGTTAGGGTTTATTTGCTAAATTTCAATTGTAAATTTGTAATGGTAATTGGTTTAGTGTTGGACCCTTTAAAAGGCACACATTTCAATTTAAACAAGCAAAAGATAATGCATATATAATTACATTAATGTACGTTAAATAATATGACATGAGTGTTTGCTAATCTTCTAAGGTAACATTGAATGAGTATTTGTGACTTGGAGAGAGAGAGGGGGAGAGAGAGAGAGAGAATATTAATGTATAACAAAAATTTGGAGAAAAAACTGGGAGCATGAGGGTGAAATAGAAGAAAAAGATAAAGTACAAATAGGGGTCAAGTTAGAGAATAAAAAAGTGTGCCCCATATCTTTAACATGTTGTAGGGTGAAAGACAAACATTGTGGCTAAGGCCATGTGTAATCAAATATTTTTATTTCTTCTTATTATGACTTCTTTTAAACATAGTAATTCTATTAATTTCTTTAACAAAATTATTTTTTTCACATACTTTAATTGTTTTATTCTTCTTATTTTTTCTAGAAAATCACACGCAAATAAGAAGGCAATTTAAGCTTTTGAAAGACCAAATAAGTTAAGACATGGTATATAAAACAGAGGAAGTAGTATTGTAGGTTAGTTATGTAAGAACAAATACATAACAATATTAAAAAGTGATGTAAAGAGATAAAATAGTAATGGAACCACACTTTGACTATACCATTGAAATTTTATTCAAATACTACTGAGAGTGTATTAAGTATCACTGAGTACCATTGAATATACAATACTCAATGAGGACCACACTCTTATTGTATCACTAGAAGCTTATAAAATACAACCGCGAGTGTATTTAGTACCACTACAACCATATATATAATACCACTGGATATATACAATGGTATTATTTGATCACCCAATGATACCACGTGATATTTTGTATAAAATTAATAGAATGCCCTGAGTTATGCATCTGGCCATGAATAACCGTTATCTCTTTGAAAGCCTTATATAAAACAAGTTGTGACAATTTAAATCAAGTCACATATTAATTATACTAAACAACTAATAGTGCTACAGTACTATGTGGCCAGGACAATGCCTCGCGTTTTTACTTTGAACTAACACTAGTAATTAGACTTTTTTTTTTATGTTTTTTTTATTTACATTGCCTTATTTTTTTTGTGTGTGAGTAGAAAAAATTAGAAGAAAAAAACAATTAGAAGTATGTGATTTTTTTTTTTATTACTAAACTTATTTTGTCTAAAAGAAGTCAAAATAAGAAAAAAAAAATCAATTAAACATGGCCTTAGCCGCAAGTATTTGTCTTGGTAGAAACTAGGAAATTCGATGGCCGAACAAACCCACACGTAAATTGTTTTTAATTTCGCATTTTACATTATTTAATTTCTCAATAGAATCTAGAAATTAGGGTTCATGGTCAAAAACTAAATTTAGGGTTTTCAAAATCGGGGATTTGGGGAATTGAATTGTATTATCCAATTTAGGGTTAATGTATAATATATATATATATATATATATATATATATATATATATATATATATATATATATATATATCTTTGTTTTTTTTTTGGGGTAAATTTTATAAAGTAGGCCCCAAAACTGGAGATTCTTATAAGAAAACTAAATGTGGTAATGCTTCAAAGTTTTAATTCGTGGTAGTTTCTTATAAAAAAATTTAAATTGTATTTGTTCTAACAAGTGGTCTTTTAAATCCACAACATAATAATAATAATAATAATAATAATAATAATAATAATAATAATACATACATACATACATACATACATACATACATACATATATATATATATATAGAAATGGGATCATGTGAGAACACTAACTTATGTGAGAACAAATCTAGACCCTTGAATTAGATTCATGTGACGGCTCTTATTCAACCCACCTAATTAAGGGTAACCGGGTAATTTCACAGGTTGAATGACTACCCTCAATCTTCTCATTTTTCATTTTCACTTTCTCTCTCTTCATTACATTTTCTCTCTCCTCCTTCATATTCTCTCTCTGCGAATTCGTTTTTGAGCTTAATCTTCTTCGCATTGTTGCATCGATCTTCCTTCAATCTTCTTCAATTCGCTCTTCATATACCTTGATTCTGGATAATTAAGGTATTTGAGTTTTCTTTTTTTGTTGTTATTTATTCAATTTTTTTTTAAGTTTATGAATTTGCTCTTTTTTGGTTAGCGATTTATGATTTCGATTATTATTGTTGAGATGTTTTTGCCGATTTTTGTTGATATTTCTTACCATTAGGTGTCTAATTTGTAGAATTTAATTATTGATTTTTTTTTATTTTGTGTAATTTTTTATTTTGTTCTATTTTATTTAACTAGGGTTTTATTCTATTTTATTTGATTTCGTATCGTATCGTTTGATTATTGATGACAGTGGTAGATCTAGTTTGATTGTGAATTGGAATGGTTTTGTCGATTTTCTTCTTGTAGTATCTTATGGATGGTTTGTTGATTGTGATTTGATGTTTGTTTCGTGGTGTATTTAATTTTGTTCGATTGGGTTCGATTGTGGTGGTTGAATATGTTTTCTTGTTCTTATTTTTGAGTCATTAAGTAATAGTTGATGTCTGGTTGCTCTTATTGACTGAGTAACAAGAGATTGGCTTGATTTATTTGAATCTAGTCACATACCATTCGTGTTCAAGCATTAATGTTAATTATCTCTGTTCTTTTATGGGTGTGATTTTTCCTCTTACTTTTCCCTAAAAATCGTTCCTCGTCTGCCTTCATCCTCTATTTCCTCCATTGAAGCGCCTACCGAGCTTTCTCTCATCCATTAAACCAGTTTCTGAGGTGAGCTATATATTTTTGTACAATTATTGAATTTCAATTTAACAATCTTGGGTTTATTGTTAATCTAATCAATTCTTAGTATAGTCGGCTAATTTAGCGTTCGGATTATCGAACTATTGGCTATAAATTTAATTTGATTTTGATAATTAAGTTATACAAGTATATATTTGGTTGCTAATTTTACTTTTGTTTATACAACCCTTTATCGTAACTGTTAGTATAGAACTATAAAAATTGAAATTTTCTAATTTTAGAGTCTTTTTGTTAAAAATCCTTTTATACTTCGTATTATTTTTGATGCAAAATTGAAAATGCGAAAATGGACTTATTTTTTTCTCTATCAAAATTAAATAATCATAAAACAATATATGGGATGTTCATGTAATATGTACTGGCAACAGTTTAGTGAATGTTTACTTATTTACAAATTGCAAAGGATTATACAGTGATGAATTTACCATGTGTACTATTATCTTCATTATGCAATCGAAATCGAGTTCGGGATGTTTGAGTTCATGAGAGAGTATCCATTATACTTCCGGTCTAGCTGTCTAGGTACACCCAATACTTGATAGTATAATCTTGCACACAAATGAATACTTGTGATAATGAAATGTGTGTTTTGGTGAAGACTATTTCTAATACCAATAGTTTATAAGAGAATTAGATTGAGTTTTGGAAGTCAGAAGGTGTAATTATCTTAACATCCAATGACCGAAATTATGTAAATGAAGAGAGTAGCTTTAAGGTAATTACTTGCTTGTCTTGTTATTCTTGTGCTTGAAAACGGTTATAGTAACGCTCTTGGAGCGCCTTTTCTCCGTTTGTTGGTTGATGCTATATTGGTATATTGAAATGTTCAAGAGAGCTTAGGATCACACTAAAAATGTTATATGTATGCAGAGTACCATTTTTGCTTTTATGATATATTTCAGTGTTAAGAGTATCAATTTGTAAGTGATAACTAACAACTGTGAAGGGTTCCTACATTATCCTTTTCAGTGTGAAGAGTATCAATTTGCTATGGATTCTTCGGCTGCTACTGATCGTAACAATGCTAAAGATTATACAGATGTACATTTGGAAAGGATAAT